GAACGATTTCACATCTAAATTTTTGTTCAAGAAATGTGAACTATTAACTAGTAGAAAACAAACATAAAATTATCTGTTTGATTTAAAGGTACGCTTCGGCCTTTCAATGTCCCTTCGTTTGTATACAAGTACTTTTGGCTTTTATATACATAGAAGTACTGCATACCGTTATTTTCAATGGGCCAGCCCACTTTACATTCAACGCCTTCCAGCGACTGGCGAATGCCTTTGTCACAGACGGCCGAATTTGAAAGCTTTTTTTCTTAATCTATTGGTGAGTTTATTTTAAGGTCTTAGCAGCGCTCTCAACAATCGCGGGAGTCACAGACTAAATTAACTACGCACTTTTGCTCTGATTACGTGCACTGCTAGCTAATTTCATGCACAAAACCATTCGAGTCAAATCGTATTTCATGTACGTGGATAAATCGTTGTTGTTGCTTATAAGCGTTGGTATACTTTTGTGTTAAAAAGTTCCATTCAATATAAAGTACCTTTACAAAAACAACAAATTGACGCAATTAACAAAAAGCGACAAAATCAGCGAAAAACCATAAAGTAACCACACATACAGATGCAGTTAGTAACGGGTAACTACAGCAAACAAATGTACGCACATAAAAGTAGTAATTAAGTTGCACTGTGAAACAGCGCATGCTTTTCTTCAAATTAATAAATATTTATACTTCTATATATTAGAAATTTAATTTGTCTCGTGTTGGCGCATGATTTCTGACACAAAAGTTACAAATTTAAACAAATTAGCTTATGTACTATTTTAAATAAATTTTTGTGAGTTGAGTGGCATTTCAAGTGGTTTTCTAAAGTCAAGTTTTACAAAATATTCTGCTTCTTTTTCCTCAATATCATTTAAATGAAACATGCACATTGTAAAAAGCGCCATCTTCGTCCTTCTTAGGCTTCTAGACTACAAATCTGCTCACTTTTCAATTTTTCGAAGTTTAAAAGATTAAAAAAAATTTATTTTTATGTAACCTTTATCTCTATATTCCTTTGATAGAATAAATAAAAAATACGAGTATATTTTGAAAAATCATTTACTTAAATTTAGAGCTTTTTTCTTCTGTTTCGTTTTGAATTGTCAATATTTATAAATAACCTTTTTTTTAATTTTTAGTTTTAGTCATTTAATTTAAATTAATTAAATACAAACACAAGAAACGCTAACCAGTCCAAAACAAAGAATATACAAAAACTGTAAGCTATGAATGATAACTCTTAAGAACTCGTTTCCTACTTTTGAGCAAGGTATTACCGAATCCGATTGCTTACGAGTAGACTAAAGCATGTGTGCGTAAAATCTGATTTCGTCAAATAGCTTGACACTGGAGCCTATTTTCGTAGTATAATTTATATTTAATTTCAACTTATTTGCATAACGATTATAATGTTTAAAATATGTATATTCTGTTATTTTACAAAACCATTTCATACGATGTCAACAAGAAAATATAACTGAACTAGTCAAACTTGATATTTTATAGATACTTTATAAACAAATTATTTAGAAGTATACTAATACCTAGCATTTGCACAACCAACTTTTTTTGGAAGACAGTTCTACCAAAAGTTGCCAAGTAAGGCTTGCCATTGCAATTTGTATCGAACGATAATTACTTCATTTATGACATTTGAATACAAAAAATTAAAAAATAAGGAAGGTAAATGTTCGAATGGAGTCAAATATTTTAAATTCTTGCGAATTCTCTATTTTGGCGTTGCAAGAAGCTTAAAACTTACTACTGCAAATTAAAATATGTTTAAGAATTTTTATAAGATTTTTTAAAATATCCTAGTTATAGTCATAAGGAATAAATGAAGTTACAGGTAATTTGAACCTATTTTTCGTAACAACTTACATCCGCAAGACAAATAATTTGTATACTCTTGCAACATTTTCACTACAGAGTATAATAGTTTTATATACATATCTCCAAAACCACTATAGCTACAATAACCAAATTCTCTAAGGACAAATCCTTTAAGAATCCTTACCGACAGTGCGAAAATAGACAAAATCGCATTATAACCCTCTCGCTTTTTTAAGCTGTGAGATATATTATTGAAATCCTTGGAAAAAGCTTGCTTTGATAATAATATACCCTTGTGTCAAAATTGGGTTGAATCGGATCAGTATTTCCCTTAGCCATATACTTAACATAAATATTTTCGAACTTCCAGTTGATTTTTTACCACATATATCGGCCAATGTACTATTTATTTTAATGAAATTGAGAGAGCATGTTTTTCTAATAACAGTGTATCTTTGTACCGAAAATCGGGGGAAAATTTGCCTTAGCCTCCATATAACTTATATTCAGGATTCTAAAACGTCCGACTCCATATATATGTTCATATTTAGATATTTACTGGTGAGATCCGACCACGCGTTGCTGTGGCTATGCTATACATTAAATACTATTATATTATAATAAACTAATCAGTAAGTGAAAATATTATTTTCGAATGGAGGCGAAAATGTTATTGTCGGTATAAGAATCCAAGCGATTGCACTTGAGGTTTGATTTCGAAAATGATTCATACAAATATTTGTCAATTGAAAAAATAATGAATTTACCATTTGGCATTTTACTGATAGTGTTATTTTATTTTCTTGACATGCTGCTGTTTAGAAATACATATATACTTGTACATATATTTTTGTACTCTCGCAACAAGTTGCTACATAGTATAATAGTTTTGGTCACCTAACTGTTGTTTCTATCACTTAAAACTAATCGAGTTAGATATAGGGTTATATATATGTATAACTAATCAGGATAAAGAGACGAGTTGAAACCCGGGTGACTGTCTGTCCGTCCGTCTGCGCAAGCTGTAACTTGAGTAAAAATTGAGATATCTTTATGAAACTTGGTAGACATGTTTCTTGGTATCGTAAGACGGTTGGTATTGCAGATGGGCGTAATCGGGCCACGCCCACAAAACGCCATTAATCAAAAACGAATAAATTACCATCACTAAGCTCCACAATAAGATACAAGACTGGTATTTGGTATACAGGATCATATTAGCAAGAGGCATCTGCCGTTTAAAAAATTTGTAAAGAGTGGACGTTACCGCGCCCCCTAATAGCTTTAATGTGCATATCTCCTAAATCGCTAAAGCTATAATAACAAAATTCACTAAGAACAAATTTTTTAGTTTTTTGTCGATAGACAGTGTAAAAATGGGTAAAATCGGGTAGCAACTCCGACCAAACTACTAAAAGCGCGATAAATCAAGCACTAAACACGCTAGAGACATTAAATTTGATTCTGGGATGGTATGACATGACTTTTTAGAACCCACGTTCAAAATTAGACAGTGGGCTTAGCACCGCCCAATTTTAGGTGAAAACCCATATTATGGGATCTCCTTAACCGATTTCAACCAAATTTAGTACATAACAATCTTCTCATATTTCTATGTTATAGTGCAAAAATAGGTGAATCGGATTACAACCACGCCTATTTCCCATATAACATCATTTTAAATTCCATCTGATTATTTCACTTTCCACTATGCAAATCAAGCAAAATTATATATAAAGTAATCTCAAACAAGTATACCGTTTGCCTTTTCTAGAGTATAAAATGTTCGGTTACAACCGAACTTAGGCTTTCCTTGCTTGTTTTGGTGGGTTTTGTTAATATCATATTGTAAATTCTATTGTAAATTCATATCTATTGTAAGTATTACTGATTTATAAGAACAAAAATTCAATTAGTCTCCTACTTGTAGACGATCATGGCTCCTAAACCCTTCAGCTATGGGTAAGTTTTAACCTGTGTAACATATTGCAAGTATAAGAAAATTACGGACGAAAACAGTATAGAAATATTATATATAAAACAAAGTCAATAATTTATATAAGAATTTTAACTTTATAGGTTTATAATCGTGTGCAAATTAATTGATGCACTGTATGCCACATTCATAAACATTCACGCGCATAAGCCACAAAGATTTTTGAAATTCCACAGCTGCCTTTCATTCGAAAGCATGAAGCGTTGACTGAAAACAAAAACGCTTTAATGAGCAGCTATTCATTGCATTCGTTCCCTTTTTCTTCACCCTCCTGCATAACTGCATATACGAGTATTTTCTGTTTATGGTAGGAATAGGCAATCTATAAACATCTTCTTCGAATAATTCACCGCTTGATCAATATTCCGGAACGCATATGCTCTACAGAACTTTTACAATTCTCATGCTATTGTGTCGCTGGATTCGCGTCCAAAAACTGGCATAACTGTCTTCACACAGTTCTGCACGTAATGTGCTATTTTTAGCACAACGTCAAATTGGCTTTTGTAGTGCTGGGCATTTTTGTCACTGATATAATTTTCTAAAAAAAAAAAAATCGAGTTCAATAACCCAAAATCAGCGCTTGATTATTTGGTAGTCATAAGTTCCTTTATTAAATGCGTTTATGCCTTGGCAGCTGGCAGGTTGCCACTAACGAACATTGGTTGCTGGTGCCTACTTTGCGGCGGCTTTTACATGTTATTGGTTGCTGTTCATTTTGGCTTTTACATTTGTCTTTTATTTTTACTGTGCTTTTAATATTTCATATTCATATTTCATTTTGCTTTATTTGTGTGGGTGTTTTGCATGTAGAACTTGGCGGATAATCTTTCTTGTTTTCATACACATTTTGGTCGAAATCGCCAACTTTTTTAAGTAAATATTTGTGTTTCGCAAATGAACGCCGAGATGAAATATGACCCCAATACATATTCACATTCCTCTTTAAGCTATAGAACTTTCATTTGACATTAAAAAGTGGATTTGAAGTTTGAGTTTTATGTTATATTTGTATGTGCCATAAATGGCATTAATGCAAATACAAGTATATGTTGGGGGTGAATTTAATTACAAATTTATGACAATCTAACAAAAATTAAAAGCGTTTCTCCAAACTTTAAAAACACATATTATTCGTTTTAAAGTACTTTAGTTACTTCATTTCTTTTCAGATATTTTGTGATTAAATTTACTTCTTTGAAAGACTGAAAAGCTTCGGCTTTCACAAACGGCCACAAAATACTACCAACACGCAAACGTAGTTCACAACAACCAAGTGTTAACAAAATGATTTCGCGTCGAAAAATTATATCGCGTTCCCTCGACAATCTAGATATGATACCAAATGTCGAAGAGGAAGAGGATGTGTGGTATAACAAGGAGAAACTTTTTAGGGTAAGAATAATTTCTTAAAAATTTCAAAATATATGTGTGTCGGAATGTTTTATAATTATCACAAAATATCAAAATACATCTGTTAATCTTTGCTAAATTTTTTGTATCTTTAAGTCAACAAATTCTGTAAATAGGGGTCATAGCATGCTTTTTAATTGTCTGAATTATTGCGACCACCAAATACATACTATTCTGAGATTAGATCATATATCCAGATTTATCATCATTATGATAGATTATGATAATTTTGCCAGAAAATAAGTCTGAAGAATTTTAAATACCTAGGGGTGGTGCCGACTTGAAGTCTTTTCATAATTCAATAACCACATTACATTCAAAAAATGATATTCTGGCAATTTTTCATATATTTTGAAACCGTTTCTTTTTATACTCTCGCAACCTGTTGCTACAGAGTATAATAGTTTTGTTCACCTAACGGTTGTTTGTATCACCTAAAATTAATCGAGTTAGATATAGGGTTATATATATATAAATGATCAGGATGAAGAGACGAGTTGAAATCCGGGTGACTGTCTGTCCGTCCGTCCGTCTGTCCGTCCGTCCGTCTGTCCGTCCGTCCGTCTGTCCGTCCGTCCGTCCGTGCAAGCTCTAACTTGAGTAAAAATTGAGATATCTTTATGAAACTTGGTAGACATGTTTCATGGTATCGTGAGACGGTTGGTATTGCAGATGGGCGTAATCGGACCACTGCCACGCCCACAAAACGCCATTAATCAAAAACAAATAACTTGCCATAACTAAGCTCTGCAATAAGATACAAGACTGTTATTTGGTACACAGGATCACATTAGGGAGGGGCATCTGCAGTTAAAATTTTTTAAAAGTGGGCGCGGTCCCGCCTCTAATAGGTTTAATGTGCATATCTCCTAAACCGCTAATGCTATAATAACAAAATTCACTGGAAGCAAATTTTTTTAGCACTTCTCTTGACGGTGTGAAAATAGTTGAAATCGGGTGGCAACTCCGCCCACTCCCCATATAACGGTACTGTTAAAAACTACTAAAAGCGCGATAAATCAAGCACTAAACACGCCAGAGACATTAAATTTTATCTCTGAGATGGTATAAGATGACTTTATAGGAACCGCGTTCAAAATTAGACAGTGGGCGTGGCAAAGCCCACTTTTAGGTGAAAACCCATATCTTGAGATCTGCTTAACCGATTTCAACCAAATTCGGTGCATAACGTTCTTTTCATGTTTCTATGTCATAGTGCAAAAATGGGCGAAATCGGACTACAACCACGCTTACTTCCCATGTAACACCATTTTCAATTCCATCTGATTCTTTCACATTCCACTAAGCAAATCAGGTAAAAATGGTTATATCGGGGTAAAACTTTGCGTGAATAATGCAATTAAAGTATGCCACCTTGCGGCCAAAAATTGTCTAAATCGAACCAAAACTGTTCAAACCCCTAAGTACTAAATATGTGGACCCCAGTGCCTATAGTTGACCTTCTACCGAAAATATCAGTCAATCCACAAAGAAATCTCAAACGAGTATACCATTTGACCTTGCGAGAGTATAAAATGTTCGGTTACATCCGAACTTAGCCCTTCCTTACTTGTTATCTATCTATTTACTACTTATCATCTACTCATTAGGACCATATCAACGAAGTGCTCAGCAAATGGGAACAAATCGATGATGAGATTTGGGCGAAGGTAATAGTATTCGAAAAGAATCGACGAGTGGCCAAAGCTTATGCCAGATCTTCGGTTATCACCATAAATGGAGGGAAAAATGGCTTTGACGGCGTAAGGTCAGTATTTTAGAAGTAAATTGCAAACAATATACTAAACATTGTTTCGCTTTTGCTTTTTTCAGAATTGGGTTGAGTGGTTTCGAAAATCCTATGCGAGATGCGGATACAAAACTTGTAAAAAAATCGGTCGGTGAAGGATTCAAAATTAAAATGGATGATATTGGAAACATACTAATCAAACGTTATGGCAAGAGTAATGTTTTTGTGAACAATACTTCAATGGTCAACGAGGAGACAGTCATTGGTGGCGACATACTTCAAATGCCGAATATGGGCCTGACAGCAGGCACATCTGCGAAGGTAAGTAAACGGCGCAAAGTTGAAAAATGTATTTCTAATAACTATAAAATTGTTTACAGCTCTTTGACATGCGCAAATATACAACTAACATAAATCGAGAGTTCTCACGTTCATATCCAGAGAGCAGACGTCTGGAACGTCAATGCTTGTCGGCCATATCATTAGTCAAATCGAATAATAATCTAATCAATAACCCGCTATGGATTCTGGTCATAAATATAGTCGCAATTGATATGCTGAAGAATCGCCTACAAGCACTGCCCAAATCAGTGGATGCGGTGGGTTCACGTGTGATAATAGCAGGAAGTGAAGATCCGTATTCGACCATTGAGAGTCAGGTCGGTCTTATTTATCCCACACCTGCCGCCTCCGATGACTCAAATAATTCAAATAAATCGAATAACTCAAGCCAGTCGAGCAAAGGACGCCGCAGTGTTTACAATGCAGGATTCCTTGATGACAGTCCATATGTGCCAAAGGTAATTTCAAAAGAGATTTTCACATACCAATTAATAGAGTTAAATTGTGTGCATTTTAAGATTTGGCACGATTTACAAATTTTTAGCAAGTATATAATTTTAATATTGTATAAAACCAGCAAAGCGATAACTAAATCATTAATTGTTAAAACGTTATTAATTCCAATAAGTATAGGTATTTTTTAAATTATCAATTTTTGCTGCCGTGTTCAAAAGTAAATATTTTCTCCAATGCAGAGCTGCTTTATTTTTGTATCCGACTTTATTCTTAAGGAGTTAGATCAGTTTAGAGCCCAAAAAATTCCTTATTTTAACAATTTATTCTGGGAATTAGCAAAAAGGCATCGAGTTTCTTGCTTTGTGGTTTTATTAACATTTGTATAAAACTCAGCTTTACACCAATTTTAATTTTTCGCAAAATGTCGGACTTGTAAATTTTTTATTATTTTTGACCGAAAAAATGGCAGTAACTTATTTATAAAAAAATGTACAAAAATAACAAAACATCTTACGCAGTTTACTAACTAATTTTTATGTGAAGCTAAACTTAAAATTTCGATATTACAGCAAATTTGTTTAGGAAGTTTTTGTTGTCAATAATGATTTTAGGATCCAAAAGTGCACTTTATCCAAAACAAAACGAGTTTTGAAAATCCCAGACTAACCTTAAGATTAATTTAAATTTGATAGCCCATCGAAATAGGCCAAAAATCAAAAACGAACACTTGAACTACAATTGATAGGCTTTAGATTCCTCCCAATTGAAATTTTAGACATTTACAAAACTTGTACCATTGACTAAATAAAAATTATTTTCGGGCGTACTTGAGTTGCCGTTAGTTGGTTTTAACTATAAGGTGCAAGGAACTGAACACAAAATTTGTTTAACCAATTATTTTATGTATTTTCGGCATACTCCAACTGCACACTCAATCCGCGCGTGCACATCCACACACACCCACATACATAACTTTACTGCGCACACATATACATACACAGTATAAAGTTGCATATTGGGAAATCAAAAATGTACTCTCCGGTTGAGGTCAAGATTTGATTACCACAACTAATGCTTACAACTACTCCGCCTAAAAAAAGGTTAAAGTTTATTCCTCTTCCTTATTCTTCATAAGTTTTGGTGTGTCTTATTAAATTTGCTCTCGACTTTCATTGCAGCCCGATTATGAAGTCTACAACCAATCAGTGCCAATGCTCTCCTCTAAACAAAAGAGCAAATCTGAATTACGTAAAAAACAAGATGATCCCTACTATTGCGGCTTGCTTGCCCGTATACCGAATTTCATCAAATCTTCAAAAAAGTGCCCCAATAAGAAGGAGGCGAAAATATCACGTAAAATTTCAGCTTCACAACAACAAATTGTCGAACCACAGCCAGCACAGCCGCTGCCCATTGCCACATTCCACCAGTATCCGGCTCACCAGCCACCATATTACCCATACAAGCTACTCCATGCGCGACATCATAGACTCTCCCAATCGCAATTGTCATTGTGGGATGCGCGCAGCCTGATTAGCGCACATGAATAAGAGAGGTTAGGTGGCACGTCACGGACGCATGAGACTATGGCAAATAAAACATAAACCTAAGTAACAGCGTTAATCAAAAGCATTTTTTGTAAAAATGCATGTGATTTCTTCCTTAATCAATAAACATAAGTATAGTATATGTATGTATGTAGTTGTAGTAATAAAAAATAACTTTCTACGCCAGAACGTCTTGAATTTAAAACGGAGATTACTACATAAGTGATTATGAATGTTTGTGTGTATACACGCAATATTAGAAAATATTACAAGTTTATTTATTTATAAGAACCATTTAAGTGAAAATGCTACGCGTATGTGTACCACTATACGATATTGCCATAATTGTTTGATTTTCGTAGCAGTTGACATATTAAACATAATTACGTATATGCAAACAACATAAGTATGACCACACATATCTTTTTCTAAAATGAAGACTGAAACATGTCCTAGAAATATTAACACTATAAATACTACGCAAAAATAATTTTTTGCGTGTATGAAAAAATTTAATAATAACATAATGATATTCAAAATACTCGTAAACAGAAAAGTACTTAACATAAATGTGTGAAAATCTGCCAGAGTAATGAATTAGTTTGTTTCTTAACTGCTAGCAGCTACTAGCAATAAAGAAGAACAACACTGAGCGCATCGAGAAGTCACTCTAGCAAGGAGCAAAAAACGAAAAAGTAAAGAAACGGAAAACAAGCAGAAACTAGCAAAAAATGTCAAAATGTTGTTATTAACGCTTGCAAATAAAATGAGTGAAATCAAAGCAAATTCGTCAAATCTCGCTTGTTTAAACATTTGATTTATCAGCTGTTTCTTCCTATGGCAGTAGTAGAAAATTCACTAGCAGAAACTAGCAGCTCTTTCTGCTTTTTACGCTCTCAACTTGAGCTTACTTCTGCTAGTTTTTTGAGTTAAGAAACTTTGCTAGCTAGTAATAGTTAGCAGATAAGAAACAAACTTAATATTTATGTTTAAGTTAAGCTTACGCTCTTAGTATAACATTTAAGAATACCTACTAGATGGCCTACATACATAAGTATGTTAAGTAAATGCCTGAATATGTGTAATTTTAAGTGTCTGTGGTCATTTAATTTTAATTGCATTGTATATATGTATGGATTATTCTAATGATTTTAAATTTATATTTCAATTAACTTGATAAGACCAATTGCAATACATATTAAACATAATAATCCGAACGAATTTCACATATATTAAATTTTTTTTTTTTTGATTTACAAAAAACTATACGCGAACTTTAAATAAAAGATATTCTGGGAAAACAACTCTTAAAACGAAATATTTATTTATTTTATGTTTAATATTCGTAACATACGAATTGAACGCGTTCCTTCGGCTGTGGCAATAAAAACAAGCAAGGAAGGGTTTAGATAGGAGGCAGACGTACATTATATTTTATGCTCTCATTATGTTCGTTATTCGGCGAAATTGGGAGTAAATTACAATCACAAGAGGTACATACATATGTATATTCAAAAACAACGGAAATTTTTGGTTTTTGCAAACAAGATTTATTCATTTGTCTATATTAATGTTGTCGCCTACAAAATAGTCCCCATTAGATATTATCAACTTACTTCTTCCAATCGTCGAAACACTTCTCAAATCCGAATTTTGGGATGGCCTTTTGTCACATTATTTGTTTAACACACCTCGTTTGTGGTATCTTATATATATAATATAGTACATGGACTCACATTGTTAACTGAGATAACAGTTTCTTATTAATATTATCCACATACAAGAAAATAAAAGCATTATTCAGTAAATACTATTTCTGTGGTAAGATCCTTTCGATCTTCTATTCTACTAACAAGATAATTTACGCAAAAGAGTATGGCATTTAGTTATAATTCTGTACCAAATAAATAGAAAAAGTCAAGCTAGGTTAATGTTAAAAATTTTTTTGTGTGAAAACAACTCTAAAGTTTAACCAATTTCCGAACATTTCCCATTGTAATCTTATAGCCTACAATCCACATTCCACTACAACTGAATGTCATTTTCAAAATTTTCAAGGAATTTATCTGATGGTTTAAAATAGGATGAGTTTTAGAGAAGTTAATTGGTTTATTTAAATCAATTACGACAATAAATTTGGTGCAAATGTCTATTGGTTGGTGAAATTTAAAATTGTTTCTGATATGAATAATTTTGTCACTCGAATGCCATCTTGGCAAACGGTAACCTACACAAGCACACTAAATCGATCCAGAAAGGAGCCCCAGAATATGAATAAAAATTTGAAAAAGAAGCCATTGCGTGAAAGCCAACTACAACAAAGGGGAATCAATTTAAGTCCCTCTTTGCAAAATAATCGGCGATTAAGCATACGAGACGAACATTTATTGAAAATATTTGCTAGCAAACCTGATCAGCCATTAGTGCCGTCAAACGAAGATAGTGGATTGAGCAGTAGTTCGCATTGTTCTTTTGATCATTTCAATGTTGACATTAATCAATTATTGCTTGTAGAAAAGCACAACTTGTGTAAGTACACGACACTGAAAATATAAGCAATGATTTTGTTTTCAATATTTTGAAAATTAAGATTTTGTCAAATTTATTTTTTACACAAAAAAAAATCTCAAAAAGCTATAAAACTAAATTTCATGTGTACTAAATTATTTATAATAAATGGTAAGTGACTTTTTAAGTGTTCTGTTGCTTTTTCGTTATTAGAGATGTAAGGTTTTCAATGGGTAGCACTGCTAAAATTTCGCGCTGTCATTTTCTGACAATGCGAATAATAACATAAAATGAAAAAAAAATGTGAAAAAATATTTTAAGTACCTTATTTTATTGATCTCATTAAGTGTTTGTAGTATAAATTTATCCTTTCTGTTGTTTCCTGTGCCCGCTCTTCAACATGCGCATGCGTATTGTCGCATTTCAAAACAACCCACAGGCGAATTGAGCGACTATGTGAGCAGTCCCGATGATATGCTTCAACAAGAAAAGTTCCTAATTTCCCAATCGCCACCAGTAACATTTAATGAAGTAATTTATGAAGATATCGAAAACAATCGCACAGGAATTACAGCTGATACTCCTAACTCCAATATTGAATACATAACCAACACGCAAATAAACACAAATACATCCACTAAAGAACCTACTAAACAAACAACATTAAGTAAAAATCCTCAAATGGCACGCATACAACGCGATCTTAACAGTCCTTCAGCATCATTACGAGTCCGCGCGATCAGAGCATTAAAGTAAATGATTTGTATTAAAAGTTACTTATACAAGTATGTAATTTGAACATCTTTTGCCATTAGGAATCCCATAAATGGGGATTACACAAATTTTGATATCCCACATGAGGAACAAAACATTATCAGTTTAGAAGAATACCAGCCATCTCCACCGCCATCAATAGAGGAGCTCATGCACGACATTGTAGTGTATGTTGAAGTGCGTACTGGCGAAGATAATCGATCAGAAGGAGTGAAAAAGGTTATTTCACAACTAGGTGCACGCGTAAATGACAAATTACTAAGGTATTTATAAGTTGTTTAGGATTTGTTCAGTTATTATAATCTATCAATGTTTGCAGAGGTACAACACATGTGATATTTAAAGACGGTTTGCTATCCACGTACAAAAAAGCTAAAAACTGGAACATACCGGTTGTTTCGATTTTGTGGATTGAAGCTTGCAAAAAAAAGCGGATGATATGTGATCCAAATGAGTTTCCAATATCAAATATAGATCGCTATGAAAACCCCGAACTATACGAAAAAATGAAGGTAAGTCCATGTTTATTTCTCGAAGTACTAAATCTTAATAATCTAACATTACTGTGAAGAAGATATAACATACATATATGAGGAATATTATAAAGTGCAAACCGGTTTACTAGTAATATTTAAATGAATTAGTTGTCAGAAATGTATCGTTGTTCCTACCGGTTTCGGCGTACGTCTAATTGCTTTTAATAATGTTGAGAGACTTGATATACTGTAATGGTGGAATTAACTTGAAAAACATCACCGGGCTTAAGATTAAAATAAGTTGACTGTGCTACAAACATTTTATTTTTCTCTGGATCATGCGAAGACTTAATTCTGGATACTACAGTAGGTTACTTGCCCTACTTTACACTAACCATCTCTTCGCATATTCCATCAAACTAACTCGTCTAACCCTCTTAGATTTAGATACTCCACTACAACAACAACAATAGGTGGTATTAACATACCTTACATATTAAAAAGCTAGAATCCGTTGGTGCGATCGGTTTAAAAATATATTACAATTATTTGTTAGTATGTCAAAGTTGCTGAAAATCGCAAGTTTTATGCCTTTTCGATAGATTTAGGTTGATTTTGTACACCACTCGCATGTAGTTAAAATTATATAATAAATTATAAATAACAGCTGCAAATGAATTGTCTTATTACATAACCTCAAATTCATAAGCTTGACTTAAAACTCCCATAAGTATCATTTGAGAAATTGGATTGTCTATAACAAAGCCAATGTACATTAAAAAATATTAGTAGTTGCATAGTTTAATAATTGCACTAGAATATCTTATTGAGAAACAATTACATGTTACACGTACATTCGTGGAAATAAAGATAATATCGAAAAGTAATGACATATATACCACTGGATTTCCTGAAACTAGAAATATTCAAATGAATTTTATGAGATTTCAAGTATATTCAATTTTATGAGGTCTAGCTTCTTCTCGCGAACACATTTAAAATTAATTAAACGGAGAAAATATGCCAACATGAAATCTTTGAAATAAGGAAATATGTAACTTTTTATATATTGCATATTACCTTACCACAAATATTGTTTAATGATAAAACATTATGACTGTGATTGTTGTTGTTGTTGTAACATTAGGAATAGTTATCGACGTCTAATCGAAGGGTGTTAGGGTATTTGTGAGCAATTAAAGAGATAATTTGTACCATAGGTCTTGTATGCAGGAGACGAAACTTTGTAAGCCTGAGTTGAGATAGATGGTATTTTAACATCCAGAACATCATATACGGATATAGTGTTATAAAGGTGTTAGTTGTCCCTATGTAAATGTCATCGATTGCATATTTGTAGGATACATCACTTGGTAGCTGTAATTTTTTCCGAAAGCTTCTGAAATACATTGTAATAATAATGCATTTAATAGTATCTTAATTTTTTGCTACTGCCGATCTTAGCACTTGTTTCTAGTTAAATTCAGCCCTTTACAGCACCAATGTAGTTTGTACAACAAGTTGTTAAGGTATTACAACATTCTTGTTTTATCAGTTATTATTGTTGCATAAATGAAATAATAGGCATTGTGCTTATATATAATCTTTTAAACGACCAACTCTTGAATGATATCATTTAAGCGCAGTTCATATGTTTATCTAAAAAACCTCTCCATTGTATTTATAAGAAATTTTGTATGAAATAGAAACTAAGGAAGCCCAAAACAATAAAAAAATAAGAAGATTTTAAACAGACTTGGAAATGAAATACATATGTATGTGCATGCAGGATTAAATACAGCTTGTTCACAAAGCAATATCGTGTATATTTTATACGTATATTTGTCTTTTTAAAGATAACTAAGTGCACGTATCTGCCTTTATCAGTGTACATCACAAATTATCGTGACATTTTAAATTTATCAGAATTTAATTTAGCTATCTTAACTGTTGTTAAAAGTAGCTAATTACTTGCGTATAGTAACCGTTGAAAATGTACGTTGATTGATTACTAACGTCTTGTTTGGCCTCTAGCGGAAATTGTTTACCACAATTTTTCATCGCTACTGTTTATACATATAAATTATTTACACTCACAAATAAGTATGCCACCTTCACTTTAGTTAAATATATATATTTTTTTATCCATTAAATTACTTTTTTTTTCTGTGCTCAAAACATAAAACATACTTAAAAACTAATTAAATTACTGTATCTATTGAATGGTATTTTAATGAGATATTAAAATATTCCATTTAAGTAAAATGTTTGCGATCAAGAGGTTTCTAAAACAATAGTGTTTAAAAGATTTCTTATTTTCGGTAAATATTTACAAAAGTAATACTCAGTTGTCCGTTTTATGAGATTTTTTTTAAAGTACAAAAAATAAATGCGTTAACTTTTTAATGAAAATGGTGCTAGTCAATCGTGCATAATTTAAACATTGTCAAAACTTTCACATTTAAGCGGGTTAGCGAGCATTACAAACACGCTGCTTAAATACATGTGAACGTATATACACATATCCAACAATTCATATTTTCATACACATCCGTAAAAAGTTTAAGTCACTTATAAAAGTAGATTGGCTTTTGTACCATATCAATGCGGCTGATCAAGCAATTGTAGCTTTGGAAACGCAAAATCTTGTACTTGTGTTTAATAATATAACAAATATAACAACGGCAGTAGTAGTAACATCAAGATAGGGTAACTTCAAGGCACATCATTATAAGGAACCCTGCTACCGTGCCCCAAGTGGCAATCGTGCCATTGCCACTGGCATGAGCTTCTGGCAATATGTCATCCGCAACAATATATATCATTGCACCGGCTGCAAATGACAGTGCATAGGGTAATATGAGATTGGCAAATGTCACTGCAACTGCACCCAAAATACCGAATATTGGTTCCACCATACCAGAGAGTTGACCATACCACAATGCGCGTGCCACGCTAAAACCAGCTGCGTGTAAAGGCAGACTCACCGCTAAGCCCTCTGGAAAATTCTGAATGCCAATGCCAATTGCCAAATTTCGAGCAGCTTCAAATGTGGAAGATTCAGTACTACCTATTGCGCCGAAGCTGACTCCGACCGCCAACCCCTCGGGAATGTTATGTACAGTTATTGCAACAACCAGTAACATAATACGTTTCCATTGTGCCATTGCGTTTTCAAGGTTACGTTGACTATCTGTTGTGTATGTACGCTGAGCTTCTAATTCAGCTGCACTGTTTTTTTTGCGACGTCGTGGCTCAAGGTTGCCGTGCTGTGTGCTCAAGCAATCAGAGAAACTGTCGATGCTTTTGGTTACTGTGCGATCTAAAACACCTTGACTATTACGTATATCATCGATAGCAATATCAGCCTTATCCTTATTTGTTTGTGTCATCGAAATCATCATGTTTGTGCTGTTTAGTCCAAGATACGACATAAGCCTATCACAACCATACACAAATATGGCACCTAGAAGAAAACCACCAGACACTGGCATAAAGGCGTAAACGCCATACAGATGTGAACTCTCTGCCATTTCTATGGCGGGATTTAGAAGTGACCAAAATGAAGCAGCAATCATGACCCCAGCGGCAAAACCTAATGCAGCATCAAGTGACTTGCGTTGATTACCGCGCACGAATATCACACACGCTGCGCCCGCAGCTGTTAATCCCCAAGTAAAAAGAGTACCCAAAAGGGCCTGCATGACAGGTCCGTAGCCAGGAATCATTACGACTTCTTGATATTGGTCTCAGCTTTTCTCTCTTTAACGCAAAATAAATTCACTGATTGTTGCTTATCTATATAAAGCGGAAAATACAAAGTTTTTTAATTATTACTTGTGAATGGAAAAAAGATAAGTACATGTACATACAGTATGTGTCTATGAATTGCAAACTTTTGATTAATAATAGAAACATTCAAGCTTACCGAGATAAAAATCACACGTAAGCCAGATCACAACCTTTACTTAATGTTTACCTCCCTTAATTTCTTTAGAAAATGCCACGTTCTAAGCGCCAATAGCCTTCAGAAGTAAATACAGCTTTGGTAAATCACCAACTTGGCGTTTTTTCAATGAACTCAGTGATTTATATTGAGATTTCCTCAGAAATGTAGCAACTTAATTATATCTTTCTGCTGTACTATCGAATCTATTAACGCATTTTGTTGTGCAAAAACAAAAACAGTTGGTCGATATGGTACCAACGAGAGCTCCACAGATTGTTGCTCCAACTTCAAGCTACAACAATTGAATACAAAACAAAGTGAGAGCGTTGGCGATTGTCAGAAGTCTGCTTGTTCTCTTGCCGCTTTTTATTTTCTACTGCGTCCATATACTGAAAGTGGCAGCAGATAAAACAGATCTACGCATGGTTGCATTTAAAAGGCAACAAATTTGGTGTTGCAATATCGGCATAACAATGTTACACAAATCCAGCAAAAAAACTTTAAGAGTAAAGTAAATTTTGATTTTATTACTAAATTTAAAAGCAGTCGCAATATTATAGAATTATAAAGAATTTTTAACTAATAATAATATGATTACTAGTTTGAACTCCAAAAAGACATCAATGTATGACTATATGCGAGCATTTAATCCATTTTCCATCTCGTACACTTTCTTTTTCAAGAGTATTTTGCAAATTATCACATTGGAATGCTCTGCAATATATTCTTGTACCAAAAGTTAAAAAATATATCGTTTAATATTTGAATGCGTATACAATTTTAAATTACAGCTAAAAAAAGGTTAAATTTTAAATTATTCACGACAACCCCTACACACATCTGCAGCACAACGATGAATGAAATCAAAACAAAGTAGAATATCTTACAGTTTTAACGATAAATAATTTAAAATTGATAATGTCAAGCAAAACGACTTGTGTCGCACGTACTTATATGTAAATAAATACAAGCAAGAAGCTCTAGTTTGAATAGTACTTTTAATACCCGGCATGAAACAAAGTTGGCAACATAAGTAACGCCAACTTCACAAATTCTTAAATTTAAAATATGACTATCAACATAAAGAAAAAATTTGTTTATATACATACTAAAAAAAAAGTAAAGTTGTATGTATGTAGATATGTATATGTTTTTAAACTTATCTCATATAATAAATAACACTTATTTAAATAGCTAAGAGTGCTTTCGTATCATGAGTATCAAATTTGCCATACAAAGGATTTAGATATAATATAACTCCTAGCAGGCGGCTAATGAGCGATATTTTCATTATTTATTATTTAAAAATGATATTTATTACATAAATTTTTGAGTGACTTCTGAAATAGCAAAGTTAATAGTTTCTTAATGTCTATAATAAATTATTATTTAATGTCAAAATAATAAATTTTGATTTAAAACAAGTAAGGAAGTTCTAAGTTCAGGTGTAACCGAAGAACATTTTATACTCTCGCAACTTGCAAGGATCAAAGTCGGGAAATTACTTCAGGTGTTGCCAAAATTTTATATTAAAGAAAGTATTGATCCGATTCAACCCATTTTTGACACAAGGGTCAATTATTATTAAAGAACGGACGGACGGACACTCATCCGGATTTCAACTCGTCTCGTCATCCTGATCATTTATATATACATAACCCTATATCTAATTCTATTAGTTTTAGGTGATACAAGCAACTGTTAGGTGAACAAAACTATTATACTCTGTAGCAACAGGTTGCGAGATTATAAAAAAATTGATGTGAAATTAGGTTAATATTAAACTTTCCAGCTCTACTTGTGGTTTTTTTTTACTTTTTGTAGCAGATTTAATGCCCTACATAAGCTCCACACGCGCTTTTACCAATAAAAATTTGTCACATCGAAAAGAGAGTTGAAACTTTATATTCTTCTATGTTATTTATGTACATTTTTATATGGTACAATTTTATGTTTGAATAAGCTATGCCGCTTTTACACATAAAATCATTTACCCGGCGGCATAATTTATTATTTTTTTGTAAATACTTGATTTCCAGGCGGCACAAAGAAAAAAATATAGCCCAAATATATGGTATATGTATGGAACTAAACAAAATGTTTGGTAAAAAAATAAGTATCTTCTTATGTTTACTTTAAAAGATAAAAATATAAATATATTCATTAAAAAATAATATGTCGTTTCTTTACCTTGGCTAATCATTTATTATTAATTTGTTTAAATTCATCCCAATCTTATTCAGTGGCTTTGTCTTCGAAACGAAACAATAATATTGAGTATTAACATTGTTTGCATGTATGATTAACAAACAAAAAATACTTGCAACTGTAAGCGGCAAAAACAGTTATTTAGACTTCAAGCCGTTTTTTTTTGCAAGGTGTTTTCACAATTTCAACTCTTGAGATAATAAATAAATTTCATTTTTCCTTGGCATAAAACTTATATTGAAGTTGAGCAATAATTTATCAGATTTATCTAAACATAAAGATCGGAAACGGTTAAGAAAATAACTTATTTGATACGTCAGCGTATGCCCTTTTTGCACTTAGAATATTGAATTTATTGGTTTGTTTGGCCAAGTTTTCTTTGTGAAAATTGTCGTCGAAACAACTAGTTTCTTAGTTGACCAATATTAGTATAAACTTCATTTCATGTCAATCTTAATTTACATTGTTTTTAGCGTAACATAAAAACCATTAGTTCCAATCAAGACACATTCAATTTCATATGCATTATGGAAGTCAACTTTTCAAAACTTATCTCAGGAATCAAACTAAGAAAATTTAAGTTATAATAATTTCATCCTACCAAAAACACCTAAACATAATTAAGTGTATTATAGAACATTTACATATGTAATAAAAATCACATATTCAGAATAAAGCTTTTAGTTAAAGCTAGAGACGACAAGGCATGTGCTTTTTTCGGCAAAACAAACTGATCTACAAGTGGGAATCTAATGGATTTTATGAGCAGCTTTTTCATGACAATGTGCAGTCGAAATTTTGGCATTGCCTGCCGGAATGCGACCGCCTTTAAAAAACTTTTATGTTGGTCGGAACATATAAAACCTTCTCAAAACAAAAATATTAGCAATATGTCTATAACAGGATCTTTAAAATACACAACATTTTAACATCATGTGAATATCTTATTTTAGCGCCACAAGTCCATGCAGCCGGACTCAGAATGCAATAAACGCATTCGACTGAGACAGGGTACACCTAAAGACTCTACACCTAAGGCTGTAACGGTTCCTAAAACACCTTCAGCTATAAATAATACGCCCAAATCTAGTAGAAAACAGGTAAAATGCAATTGATTTACAATAGCTAATAAATCCATAAACTTCAGATTGTTTATTATTATTTAATGCTGTTTTTTTTTGTTTGTTTACGTCATAATTTAACAGAGTGATATAAGTCAATACTTCAAAAAATTAACCAACGCTAATAGCACACCCATGACTGATAACAATAGTTTGCCTGGGTCAACAATATCGATAACGAAATCTGATTTTCCTGAGTCACCTGCTACGCAACTATTAAATAGGTAAGTTCTATTGTTATAATTTGTATATACATAATGTACGAGGTGTGTTAAAAAAATAACGGTAATTTTCGTTTTTTGTAAAAAAAATGTATTCATAGTTCCCATTCCATATTATGCATTAATGTTGTCGCCTACCAATCGTGGAAACACTTTTCAAACTCGACTTTTGGGATAGTGTTTAGCTCAGTGCCATGTTTGGCGAATATGGAGGTTGGAGGCTGGGTCATCGATACAGTATTGGTTTTAGCCAATAATTCAAGAACAAATTCTTTAATCCATTTTTTTTAACAAACGAAAATCGCCAAGCTCATAAAAACACGTCATAGCTAATTTAAAATTGATTCATAGCTAAGCGGCTACTACAGACAAAGTAAGTAATGAATACAGCAGAAAATTGTATCGTACTTCAGGGGCATGTATATCAATATAATAAAAAAAATAAACAATTGGACTCTCCAAACCCGCGAAATTTTAATTTTAAAATTCCCGTTATATATTGAACACACCTCGCATATTTCTGCCTTAGCAGTTTTTGCTATATTTAAACTCTTTAAAGGTTTTTCTATGCTTTAAGGCAAGGTTAGCGTAAAAGTTATATAGACTTTGTTAAAATAAAAGCGAAAGAAATAAGTACTCCATAGAATAGGAATAGAACCAATTTCTCAATGCCTGTCACATTTAAAGGTGTTTTATGTTTTATACTATAGCAATATGTTGCAATATAATAGCTTTGGCTAGCCCCATAATATTATCCAGATATTCTAAAGTTACAGGTGTGACTACAGCGAAGACATCAGAAAATTTCTTTCAAGTTGTTCCATCCCTTGCCTATTGGCCGAATATAGGTCAATAAATTTTCAAGCCACCAGATGTGGACCTCACTGCCTATGGCTGACTTTATACCAAAAGTTAGAGGCAATCTTCTCCTGATAAAAGTTGATTTTGCAATTTATTAAATTTGACCTCATTGTTTGCATTTATTTCACATATGTATATATCATTTGTGTTAATTAGGTTAATTTGAATATAAATATCTAGGACATGAAGCAAAATATAGTAATGAAACTAAGTGTGTTCAAGACCTACAATACAAGTTAATAGATACTGAAAATTACTGTAATTCTTTCACGGTTTTGTCAAAATAGGAATTTTAAATTCATTTGCAAAATTTTCTGATACAATTTTTGCAAACACCTGAAAATATTTTCAAAATTGGTTTCCTAATACAACTTTTATCGACGAGGGCATGTGAAAACTTACTAAAAGAAACCCAATACCTGTAATTAACAGTTTTTTTTTATAATAAATTTTTAAGGTGTGATGTACGACCATTTCAAATTAGTATGAATTTTGAGGGAGTGTTTTCAATTCAAATATTGTATTTATGTTATTATTATTAACTTGTGAAACTATGTGATCGAAAATATGAATAATTCATGGATATTTATATTTGTATATATTTCAGAATTGAGAGCAACTCATTTACACCACTTCAACCTAGAAAATTTCAAAGTGCAGCCAACTCAACAACTTTAGAAGTGGTTATGTCTTTAAAGCCATCTAACAGTGGTGATGTATCGGAGCAGACTATAGTATCAACTGAATCAAGGAAAAACCTAGAATTTATTCCTTCTGAGTCGAGGTCGGCTAAAAAGAAAGTTGTTCCTTCGCCATCTCCAAAGAAGCGTATTCCTCATCGACGTACCAGTGTTCAGATGCCTTTAGCGCAAAGTACAAGTGCTTATTCGCTACAGTTGACTGAGACTGATACGTCCGGACGTGTTACGCGTCGGCGAAGCTCAATACATACCGCAGTTAACATGAGCCTGAGTACAATCGACCCAAATACACCTGATTCAAGATCGAATGTCAATTATACAACATTTAGTCCAATACACGAAGAGAATCGAAAAGGTGCGACTATGTCTAATGTTAATAAAGCATCTAATCAGCAAATTCCACGTGGAGATAAAACTCGCCTAAGAGGACGACGCACAATATTTTCTTATAAAACCCCCGAAATTTCACCACAAAAGAAAACGAAAACACCGAGTCGACGCACACTATATACACCAAAAACCATAGAGGAATCCATTTCTGAACTGGCGATAATAAAAACAAATGAATCATCAAAAGTACTAGACGAAAGCTTATTACGATTTGCTCTAACACCAACGACAATATTAGACAGCAAAGGGAGTTCACAAGAAAATCTAAATAAAAACGATGGTTCATTACTTGAAGATCATTCATCTACTATGGTGTTTAGTTCTACGCGCCTACCTAGCACCAATCGAAGACGTACACTATTCGACGTTTCTATGGATATAATACAACAACGCTTACACAATATAAATAATTCTGCAAAACGATCAGTGGCAAAGGAGTTGACTTCTCATGATCAAAGTCCAAATATAGTTTCATCTAAAACTAATATTGATTCTGCGGTAGCAAAAAACCCAAGTAAGATTGATGGCGAAAGCTCTTCACAAGTTACTCCAACAGCACCTACCCCAGAAAGCATAATTTCAACGCCCAAGGCTGTTACAAAACGCAAATTATTTGTGCCAAATGATACTTCACTAATTTTATCTGCCAACCCTCCGGGATCAGTTAAGAAGAGCCCAAATGAAGCACGAGTAAAGCGTAGACGAACCATTACAACGCAACCGAAAGAAAAACGAGTAATGACAAAATCCCGTAACAATATCACCGTAAATACAAAGTCACGCTCAGAAGTTATTATCCCACCTTCGTCGATAGGACAGGTGTCGAATTTAACCAAAAGTGTTGCACAGTTAGTGCCTATGTTAGGGAATGAGTTAGCCGATAGTGAAAATGGCGAAACATCGAAGAAGTCGTATACATCCCTACCTGCGACAGCAGTAAACGGCAAAATAAATGGATCGAGTACTACAATAAACGCTACCAACGCAGCAAATGCACCAGTATCACAAACATTTTTGAAGAACGAGGCCCATGTGATGACGGCTGCCCCGCTACCAAAATTAAAAGGATCTTTTATGAGCATAATTTCCAGTAATACATCTGACACCACAGTAAAGCAACAATTGCAACAAGATATGGGAGTTGATGAAAACATCGCAATAAATACTCCGTCCCTTACCACGGTATTATCACAAGCTTCAACTACGCCGTCTATAGCAACTGAAAACCCGAAAATGCCATCTACATCGGGCTCAACTATGCTCCTAACGAATCAAACAGCACCAAAAGTCGTTAAAAAATCACAAATGAGTGAAATCCCAGACAAAGCCAAGGATGCAGTTGAAGTGGGGGCGTCCGGTTGTACGCTAATATCAAAAAATACACTCGGTGGTAATAAAAAATGGCCATATATTGTATGCACGAACATGCACCGGGAGCAGATCAAAGTGATGCGCGAGGTTCGTAAACAACGATAATTTTATTGTCAATTTCCATATCTCATTGCATTGGCGCTGGCGTAATTTTTTTTTTTTCAAATTTTAGTTTATATTTAAAATTATATTTCTGCTTTTACTTTTTTGAGTTAATTAGTTTCTCTTATAATTTTACTTGTAAATTGTTGAATTAGTTTTGATCTTGAATAGTAGTTTTGATTAGCTAGAAGTATCTCACAAAATTGTACGAGTTTATTAAATATAGGCTATATATAGTTTTAACAATTCTGTATGCAAACGGTGGTACATTGACTGAAAGTACACAACTAAAAACAATATTATGAATTTAAAATATCTACAACATTTGCAAAATAAATGAGATGTACATGAAAACCATTTTATTTTTATTTATATCATTATTTTTGTATATATTTTGCTTGATTTACAGTTGTATTTAAACCTTATGTATTATTTTAAATATTATATTTGTTAGATGTCACTAATAATCTACTTACCAGTCAACGTATCCTCATAGATAATTTAAGATGGAAAGGTAAAAAATACACAAGGCTCAGGTTTTATTGAAAATATCCTTTGAATGAAAACAAAGTTGCTCGTATTATTCCTTTAATTAAAGTTCAGTTGTCGCTCAAAATCATTTTTTTCCTTATTTCCTCCTTATTATATCAATTTCTATTGTATTTTTTCGATTTTTAAATATTTATTTTATTAATTTGTATTTAGTTTTCCTAATTATTTTTACATTTGTACGATCCCCAAAATATTTTCTGTTCTAATGACTTTTCTTTGCTTCTAAAAGTAAAACTCTTCAATAAGTAAAGTTATCTAATTTCGTTCACATAAACGTTAAGTTTAGAAATATGCATATTACAATACCACACTCAGATTTGAGGATCATTTTCTAAATACTATAGCAGTTTATTTTTATTTTACCCAGATGCCACGGTGTTTATAACACCCAGAAGAAAACGTCGGGACCCTGTTATGCACTGACCGCCATTCACAGTAGAACCATTAACACCTTCACCGACTCCCTCTCAGTGAATGGCATACTTGGAGTCAAACCACCACCCATCGCAGACAAAGAGCTCGAGTTGCCACGAGAATCTAGAGTGACTCTTGCGCAACTTCGTTCTGGATACTGTAGCAGGTTAAACTCCTACCTATCCAGAATCGAGCCCGACATACCAAATATATGTCCAGCATGCAATGAGTCTCCGCATGACACTAACATCTTTCTTCCTATGGCCTACCCCTGTCGAAACCGCTCGTTTCCTGGGCCTTCCGTTAAATGACTTCGACGACAACCAAACTGAACCTTACCACCCAACCGGGGATTAGATAACTTACAACAACAACAACCCTATCAAATATACTATATCTAAATGATCATCATGACGAGCTAAGTCGATTTAGCCATGTCCTCTGTCTGTATATACGCAAACTGGTCCATCAGTTTTTGAGATATCGATTTGAAATTCTGTACACGGAACTGCCGATATCGGACCTCTATAGCATATAGCTGCCATGCAAATTGAACGGTCGGAATCAAGTTCTTGTATGGAAAACGTGCTCATTTGACGAGATATTTGCAAGAGATTTGGCACAGATTATTGTCTAAGACAATAACGCAATCTCCGAAGAAATTGTTTAGATCGGATCATTATAACATATAGCAGTAATACAAACTGGCCGATCAAAATCAAGTTCTTGTACTTGTAAGAAATATTTTGTATTTCTGAAGGGTATATAGCTTCGGTGTAACCGAAGTTAAAGTTTTTATACCCTGAACAGGGTATATTAAGTTTGCCATGAAGTTTGTAACACCAAGAAGGAAACGTCGGAGACCCTATAAAATATAGGTATATATAAATGATCAGCATGATGAGCTGAGTTTATTTAGCCATGTCCGTCTGTCTGTATATATAAACTAAGAAGCTGCTCATTTGTCGGAACAGCCGATATCAGACTACTATAGCATATAGCTGCAATACAAACTGAAAACTTTGACATAATATCTTCACGAAATTTGACATGAGTTATTTTTTAAAGCAGCAATGTAATCTCCGAAGAAATTGTATAGATCGGATGACTATAGCATATAGCTGGCATACAAACTGAACGATCGGAATCAAGTGCTTGTATGGAAAACACTTTCATTTGACGAGGTATCTCCATATTAACTGAACGATCGGAGTAAAGCGCCTGCATAGAAAACTTTTGGAAGAGACACCACGAAATTAGATCGGAATCAAGGTATTTTAAGGAACCTTTGTATCTGTGAAGGGTGTTATAGCTTCGGTGCAACCGAAGTTGATGTTTTTTTTTGTTGTTGTTAATCTATGAAGGGTATTATAGCTTCGGGGCAACCGAAGTTAACTTTTTTTTTTCTTTTTGGAACTAATTATTCCTTAAAACAAAAGCAAAACATATAAGTACATTTTTACTAAATACAAGTATTATAAATCCTGATGTGAAGGAAGGATATTGGCTAAAACTAAAGCATCCATCACTGAGTTTTATTAAACTGTTTTGAATGTTTTTTTTTACTATTGATCATCATTATCACCTCCTCAATGTACTTCATATAATATGTAAGATGTCGGTATACATTAGGCCTCCCATTATAAATATTATTCTGTCAATACCCATGATTGAGCTATGGCGCTATTCTTGTCTTTTATATTGCCCAACATTGATTCGAAAATAAAACAATTTTTAATTTCTATACTATACAATTAATGTAAGCATAAAAAAATTCTTGCCAGGCCTTTAAAAATTTACCCCCATTTTTCAAAGGGTCGTCTGTAAAATGTTCATAACATCTTAAATTTCTCCTTAATTGGTTGAAAGAAATTACGGTAGGTGCGATAGCCACACTGCTGAGTAACATTTTGCTGACATTTTGATAAACCAAAACAGCAAATTCAAACAAATTGCTCTGAATTCTGATGGGACCAAGGACTGTTAACTTTGAAGCATTTCTCAATATTTTTTAGGGTTTACAACAATACAATATATACTGTTAAACTCTTCATATAAGGAAATGAACACGAAGTTTATATAAATAACGGGTAATCCATTTCAAGGTTCATTCGAAAGCACATTCTTTGGCATTTATTTTTTGAAGTTTATCTTTTTCAAATGTTGGCCGCGGCTCCGTCTCAGATGGTCCATCCGTTGAGTCCAATTTTCGATGACTTGTTAGAGCATTTCGACTGGTAACTGGCGAATGACACGCGTGATGTTTTGCTCCAAGGCCTGAATCGAAGCGGGATTGTCCGTAATTGTCCGCAGTGACTTTAGACTTTACATATCCTCACAGGAAAAAGTCTAACGGTAAGATATCACACGATCTTGGTGGCCAATCAACCGGCCCAAAACGTAAAGTTATCTGCTCACCGAAGGGCTATATTTTCTCCACTGCGTGCTGGTCTATTCGGTCGAATATTATCCAATAATAAATGCTGGGTCTTAAGATAGGTGAAAGTGTTGCGAATAGTACGCTCAGTGAACCGATTAAGTTGACCATATTTTTCGTAATAAAGTTGAACAATTTGTAAACGTTGTTCAGGCGTAAGTGTTCTCATGATGAAATGCCAAACAAAACAACAAAAAAAATATAACAGCCTGACACGACTCACGCGTGATCTGCAAAAAAGGCTATTGAAAAAAGTACTTGGATCACCCGTTACTATTAAAGCAAATAAGTTCACATGTTAGATACATATATTATTATGTTTAGAAACATAACATTTTGTTTCGTGCTTGTGAACAATTAGTAAGTATTCCAATAAGACGTATTTATGTACATGTATAATTTTTGATTACTATATCGGTAACATTCTTAACTAAGAACCAATAATTTATGGCAGTAATTAATATATGTATATATATATAAAATATTCTGAAAAGCATGAATATATATTTACTGATGTAAATGTGTATACGTTTGCTTTATTTAATCAACAATAATCGGAACTCCTCATTAATTTGCTTATATTCTTACCTTTCATACACAAATAGGCAATTGCTGAACTTGGTGGTCTTCAACTGAATCACTGCGTTAACGACGATACTACACACTTGGTGAGTTACGAGCCGCGTAGGACGCTTAATTTATTAAGAGGACTAATACGCGGTCTGTGGATACTAGACTATAAGTGGGTGCTGGACTCACTGAAAGCTGGATGTTGGTTGAATGAGGAAGAATATGAATTAAGAGTGTTTTCACGCGCCATTGAGGTAAATACAAAAGTGAAAGCTAATAAATAAATAACCTCTTATTATAATATAAAATATTAATTATCGTAGATATGTCGTACGGAACGACAGGCTTTTGGCAATACATACAAATGTGAACTATTTGCGGATTTAGGTACATTTTATATATCTTCGCGTTGCGGTCCAATCTCAAAAGAAAATCTAAAGGAGTTAATTGAACTATGCGGCGGAAAAGTGGTAGATCATCGCAAACGAGCCAAATACATACTCGGTGATCCACACAAAACCCTGGAAGATAAAGTCTATGTAACTCCATTTTGGGTATTGGATAGCATAACACATATGCAAGTGATGCGCCAACAAAAGTATACCTATGTTACCAACACAGTTGTAAAGCCTCAGCCACAATTACTGCAAGTAAATGTTGAGCCTGCTGTTTCTTCGCCACCTGTTGCATCTGGCTCAGCATTTATAAATAATACATAGTATATTGATGTGACAATTTAATATTTGCTCGTTTCGACGGAGAATTTGTAACGGGTAGTGTTTTCCATATTGCAATCATAGCACATAGTATTTTAGTCAATAAAATAGGTAAATAAAATTTTTTAAACTAGATTTTGAATAAATGATGCTTCTTTTAATGAAATAAAATTGTAGTCAACTTGAAATCGATTATTTCGAATTGTATTACAAAGGTTTCCAACGCGCACAAAGCAATTCTCATTTCAGCTTAAGGAATATGTCAACATATGAGTTTATTGATTAACTAATTAGAACATATTGCTATCAATAGCTGAGAGACGCCATACCCAACCCGCATACATGTCCCAACATTCCTTATAATATAATAAAATTTTGACTCAAATAGAGAGACATTTTATGTAAGTTCCAAATTAGTTGGTTAGCCTTTATATTTATAAATTATTTAAATTATACTAAAGCTACCCTTTTGGAGCACGTAATTCACCTACCAATTGGATATTTTTTTAAAGGTAGTTTTCTTGCACTCTTCGGTCATATTAAACAAAAAATACCTTAGGCAAACATAGAATATCGATTTAAGGCTACAAAAGCACGCCTACTTCGCCTTATAGTTTGCATATCCATTAAACCAACTTATATTTTAAAAAATCCGAGGAATAGATTTGGTCGAACAGCAGCCATACATCACAAAAAGTACTCTTTTCCAAATTTATTAAACATTTTCTTTTACCATCCATCATAGTAGGTTTATTCAACTTTATTCGACTTTGTTAGATTTACATTTTTCTGGTGGCATCGTTTTCGTTTTGTGGTTGTTGGTTGTCAGGTGTTTTGTTTTATATAAAACTGCGTCTTCTTCGTATTTGTACTTTATGTTACTGATAAAATGTATGAAAATTGTACTGTTGAAATTAAATACCAATCAGGAAGTAAAATAAAAAAAAAAAATTAAATAAAAAAAAAATAAAAATAAACAAAATTAAAATAAAAAAAAAATAAAAATAAACAAAATTAAAATAAAAATAAACAAAATTAAAATAAAAAAAATAAAAATAAACAAAATTAAAATAAAAAAAAATAAAAATAAACAAAATTAAAATAAACAAAATTAAAATAAAAAAATAAAAATAATTAAAATAAAAAAAATAAAAATAAAAAAAATTAAAAAAATATATAAAATATATATAATAAAAAAATTTAAAAAAATATATAATAAAAAAATTAAAAAAATATATAATAAAAAAATTAAAAAAATATATAATAAAAAAATTAAATTAAAAAAATAAAAATTAAAAAAATAAAAATTAAAAAAATATATTTAAAAAAAATAATACTGCTGAGCAAACTGAAAAACATTAAACTAAAAAGAATTAAAACAAATATTCCAAATCCCTTCAATACATAAATAGAATACAATCCGATTTAAATTTTTTTTGATTTTTTTTTCTTTATAAAAAAAGAATACAAAATTGTGGTTTTATTTTTTTTTTAAATAGTGGTTCATTTTATATTATGGTTTTGAATGTTCTTAATAAAAGCAATAGTATTGTGCTTTAAACGCTACAGAGAAGAGATGGAATGAATTCCAACAAATAAACATTAAAAGTAATAATAAAACTAAAGATACAAATGCTGATTTGCTTAAAAGAGGTTTCGTATTTCTGCCGTCTTGTGTAGGTAAAGGCTATTGTGCATGGTTGTGTATGTGCCTACCACATTGTATATATTTTGACAGCGCCGAAGGCACACTTTCGTTTCCTACGAAACTCTTTCCGATGGAAGCAATGGAACTTTTGATTAATCATTAATGTTAAAGTCAGTTGGAACACCGCTCCGTTTTCCTTACTGTTGCTGTTTGTTTGACTATTGTTACTATCGTACGTGGAATTTATCAAGCTGTTGTTGTTGCTATTGAGTTTATTTAATAACTGTTGGTCTTTATCGTCGTTAGAACGCAGCTACTTCTTTCCCTTGGTGGCCTTTTCGGCGGCCTTGGTTACTTTACCACCTGAGGCATCCTTGAAGTTCACACTCTTGATGACACCAACAGCAACAGTCTGTCTCATATCACGCACAGCGAAACGACCCAATGGGGGGAATTCTTGGAAAGATTCAACGCACAATGGCTTGGAGGGCACCAAGTTTACGATGGCAGCATCACCAGATTTGATGAATTTTGGGTTCTCTTCGGTGGTCTTACCGGAACGGCGATCAACCTTTTCTTTGATTTCAGCGAACTTGCAGGCAATGTGAGCGGTGTGGCAATCCAACACTGGAGTGTAGCCGTTGGCAATTTGACCAGGGTGGTTCAACACAATAACCTGTGCGGTGAAATCAGCAGCTCCCTTAGGTGGGCTCGCTTTAGAATCACCAGCGACATAACCACGACGCAATTCCTTAACGGAAACGTTCTTAACGTTGAAACCAACGTTGTCACCGGGAACAGCCTCTGGCAAAGCTTCGTGATGCATTTCAACGGACTTAACTTCAGTGGTGATGTTCGCTGGGGCGAAAACAACGACCATACCAGGTTTCAATACACCAGTTTCAACACGACCGACTGGTACTGTTCCAATACCACCAATTTTGTACACATCCTGGAGTGGCAGACGGAGGGCCTTGTCGGTTGGTCGAGATGGGGGCAAAATAGCATCAAGGGCATCGATAAGGGTCTTGCCTTCACCATTACCTTCCTTACGTTCGACCTTCCATCCCTTGAACCATGGCATATTGGAGGATGCTTCCAACATATTATCACCATGCCAACCAGAGATTGGCACGAAGGCAACAGCAGCTGGATTGTAACCGATCTTCTTAATATATGAGGATACTTCCTTCTTGATTTCCTCATAACGAGCCTCACTGTATGGTGGTTCAGACGAATCCATCTTATTGACACCAACAATCAATTGTTTCACACCAAGGGTGAAAGCAAGAAGTGCATGCTCACGAGTCTGACCATTCTTGGAGATACCGGCTTCAAATTCACCAGTACCAGCAGCGACAATCAACACAGCACAATCAGCCTGTGAGGTGCCAGTGATCATGTTTTTAATGAAATCTCTGTGGCCAGGGGCGTCGATGATGGTGACGTAGTATTTGGAGGTTTCAAACTTCCACAATGCGATATCGATGGTGATACCACGCTCACGTTCGGCCTTCAATTTATCCAAAACCCAGGCGTACTTGAAGGAACCCTTGCCCATTTCTTGAGCTTCCTTCTCGAACTTCTCAATTGTACGCTTGTCGATACCACCGCATTTGTAGATCAAGTGACCGGTGGTGGTTGACTTTCCAGAATCGACGTGTCCAATAACGACGATATTAATATGAACCTTCTCCTTACCCATTTTCCTTTTTTATGAGCTAATGCAACATAAAAACATTGGGAAGTGGAATGTTACATTCGTGATTGGGTGTTTCAGTGGACGATATGCAGGTTTTCAGGTGAAGAGGATGAAAATAAAAATTGGGGAAAACATAGAACTCGTTAGCAAAGTGTATGGGAATTTTAAAGCTAATTGTTATATATGCTAAATTATCAAGAAAAAATTTTATATTATTTCAAACGCAATTTGCAAATTTGATGTTTACTACATACAAAACCGAATAGATGTTAATCACAATTTCCGTTTAAGGTAACAGCAGCAACAAGAAAGCAATGGTGCGCAAAACCCGACAATGTTTCCGGCGTCAACACGAATGCTTTCGTTTCACTGTATAACATAACCTCAATCGGACAACGTGGCCTCACACATGTTGCTACATATCTCGGAAATTAAGGTTAATTTTGACATGCTTGCTTCGGAATTGTTAAGTTATAATACCACATTAGAATAGTGTACGAGAGGGCAAACATGCAACAATTAAAAATCGTTAGTTATAAAATTTTGCAAATTGGTCTGTTTTAAATTTATGTACTCGTTTTCCAGCTTTTATCAGTGTTTTTGGTATTTTTTTTTTTCGTCAAAGATACTCAGTAGCAGAACTGATAGAAGTCATCATAAACACTAGAAAACGATTACATTTATAATTTAAGTACTCAATCGATTAAAAAAAATGTGCATCTGGAAAAATTTGATTACCCATTTTAGAGAAAAAAAAATCAAATAATTGCATTTGTGCTTATTTATTATGTATATAAATCATAGAATGCCGGTTCAAAGAAGCTAGAGGTTTGAAAAAGAAAATGGCGTCCTCGGATAGCAACTACTGCCTCAGCTAAAAAGAAATTTCTAGTAATCCACGACTACAACCCGATTATTCACATTTCAAGACATGGCGGCCATCTTAAAAAAAATCGTTAGTTTACAAATACCCTAACCGGCTTTTAAAACTAACGTTTAACAGCTGTAATACCTAAATTTTCATGCCAAACTTTCGGAAATACATAAAAGTTACTTATACGAAATGTGACACATCTCATATTTAAACAACCTATATAAAACCAACCAGAGTTCAATGGCCACCATTTTGTAATTTTCAGTAATAGAGAAAAATATGTACCGAACTCCAGACGTTGCCGATAGTTTTAATAGGTACATATATGTTCGTAATTTCATATGCGACAAGACTATTACTAGACGCATTTGAATTTCACAATTATTTCACCTAGACAATCCAAAATGGGCGTTGTCGACGACAAAGTAGTGGTACAATTTCACAATTATTGCAAAAGTAATTGCAGCACATATTAATGCCACGTGTTTTAAAACAATTTTTTTTTAACCACTTTTACATCACTACTTTGACATACACATACGCACTCACTTTGTTGCTATGTAATCCTATTGCACACCGAATTACACTTCCCAATTTTGAAAGTAATAATTTCCCATATATTAAATGCACAATTATTCTTTTGTTTACTAATAAATAATCAAATATTTTGGCACTATCCATCAATCCAGATACACATTTTGTTAAACATATTGCACTTCACTTTCATCAAAATTATAACTTACTTTTCAATAAACTGAATCGAGAAATCACTGAAGTCTATGCTGATCCGCCAACAGACTTGAACAAAGTGAACGAGAAACTCGTCGTGAACGAAAAATATGCCTCGCTTCGTCTTTCCAGTGCCACGTTGATGACAGGGTTGACTTGCTACTGTTTTTTCCATATATCCATATATATTTGATAGTGGAGTGAACCAATATTCAATATTACTTAATAACGTTAAACAGTATTAATTTTTTGTACCATATCACAAACCTTAAAATACTTAATTTATCAATATTGAATCTTAAACTAAAGATGGAAAAAATAAAATAATTGAGCGGAGGGAGGTCAAACTAAGCATAGAAGCTTGAAAAACTTTAATAACAACAGTGAGGTCGCTACATTTTCCTTAAAAAACTTAGCCTTTGCTGTGCAATCCTGAACTTGAGTTTCCGGAATTGTATAAGCTGAAAGTAACCCAAGAATCAGCTGTTTTCCTATGTGTGTGAAACAGCCATGATCACCTGATCGAATCTGCCTTTTTTAACACAGAGATGTAAATAAAAGCAATGTATTGTAGTTTAACAACTTGTTTGTGTACTTATTTTTGATGTGGAAAATAGTAACGAAAACTTTCAAGAATATTTTTGAAACAAAAGATTAATAAATATTTATTGCTTTTCCTCACCCCCTCTGGGGTTGCAATATAGGTGCGTTATCGATCTTTTTTGAGTGTTCGTTTCTCCAGGAGGCCTATATTCACCCATTTAATATACATTAACAATATACAATAAGTTAAAATATTCACCTTGATTTGAACAAAGACGAAAATAAATAAATAAAAGTCAGGTACAATTCAATTGTATTTATGAACAAATATAAGTGAAAACAATCTACTTGTATTAATTTTAACAAAAACAAAAATAAATATAAAAAATGAGCTACAATTCAGGAACAATAACAATAATCAAAACAATATACTAAGTAATAAATAATATTTAAAAATTTTTCTAAATCACCGTTATACAATAATATATTTGATAAAATTAGAAACATTTCATAATATTTCAATAAAATAAATAATAATTTAAATAATACTCTGTGAATTTAATCTTTAGGAATTAAAACAACCGAAAAATATTTGAATATGTAATAAATACATTCTTAATGTTATAAATTTTAAAACATAACACGGCAACACACCATAGCAGATTTGTGTCATTTGGACGTTTAAGTAGAGAATATTGGTTGGCAACTCGTACCAAGTGTAACTTTAGGAGTATAATTTTTAAGGCAACCCGTGCCAAGTGGTACATTCTTGCGTCTGATAAGTGAAAATCTTAGAATTGGTTACTTGTAGATTTATACAATGGTTTCCGGTATTCCTATTCGATTAGGAGAACTTCAATAAGGGGAGAAATTTAATTAATATGCATAAATTATTGTGAATTTTTTTTTTAGATAATTCCATCTGTATATTAGCTATTGATTAAACCATATGTTTGTTACAAAAGAGCGCTACCAGAAATTCTGTTTAATATTTTAGGATTTTCTTAGAAACGAATTGACAAAACTAACCGAAATTCCTGTGTACCGGGGATGGCTAATGACTTTCTTATTGAAAACTTGTCTTTCAATGTGTTGGAGTTTCGGGTACTCCCAATTTGATATGTTGTGGATGGAAGCCACAGTTCAAAACTACCGCGTTGTGTTAAGAAAGTTCACAATAGCTAAAATCACTATTTCTACACGTTAAAAACGAAATAAAATTAATAATATCTACAAATCAAAATATCTGCTATATATTATATCAACCTTCGTTTCAGAACAATGAAGAAATGTTGACTTTGATCTTTGTTCTGAAATTGCTTTTTCATTCTGTTGTCTATCTGATGGTATTCGCCAACATACATATAGGATAATTGTAACTAGAATATGTTTTTCATATGCATTAACCACCCATTTGAAGCCTAGGTACTAATTTGTACAGTAAAAAATTGAACAGTTTTCTAGGACTGCTGGTTCTAATTTTCCGAGACTTATCCAAGTTTTTATATGTACATAGACTGATTACTTCAGTATTTTTTTCCAAAATATTATATATTTTGGATACCTTTACAATACCATGACTAATAAACGACGTTTTGTACTGTATTAAGTTTATTTCTACCATTAAAATTGAATTTTGACTTTCTTAAATTTTACGCAGCATTTTCAAGTCAAAACATGGTGCAAAGTGTAAAACCTATAACCCAACACATGAGTGAACTATAAGAACTGTGTCTAAGCAAGTGGAACGGAACTAAACTTTAATCGGCCATATTTGTTAACTCGAAATAATTCCCCAAAAACATTTCCTACTTACTGATCCAAACAAGGTTTAATCTTCGATATAAGTCTCTGGCAGGGTAAAATTTGGTAAGATAGAACCGGCTGTTGTGGGAATTCCTGCATATTTTGTGTCGCTACAAAACCATGTAATTTAGTATGTGAAAAAACAATGCGTTTTAAAAATATTATAATAAAAAGTTGTAGATTTAACACACACCTTTTAATTAAAATAAACAATAATTTAAACTAAAAGATTAAAGAAGTTACGTCGTTTCCAAACAATAATTTCCATGATACTGGAACAATCAGCTTTATGGATTTATTCTCTACTTCCAATCGTAAAAAGCTTGAACACAAATCGTTTAGTTCCCGGATTATGAGTGTAGCATCTGTCGAATTATCGCCTTCGAGAACATAACGAAATAGCAACATTACAGGCACTTGTTTTTCTTCTAAGACGTGAAATAATTGCAACCCGTTGCCTCCGCCAAACACTGTATTTCCTTTGAATTCCTTCCATTTTACATTAGCTAATTGAGCTTCGTGATTTTGACGAAAGCTATCTGAAACGGAGTATTCATATGGCGAAGTACCTATTTCACGTTTCTCGAAGCCGAAACTTGCACTGAGTATAACCACTCTCTCAGCATGACGTACTAGCCTCGCTAGGTAATTATGTAGACTCTGCGAATGACGGGAGATGAAAGGAGTTCGAAATTGAAAAACGACCAATTTATTGGCAGTACATTCATATATTTCACAAGCAGCGACCCTCTCTTCCGGATTATGTTGGTAAGCTGACGGGCCAAAAACAGGAATCAATGCTGGATGGATGAGATTTCCCACTCGCCGCATTTTTTTCGATGCAATCAACAAATCACAAGCCAGTTGTGCTGCATTGCCAACACATATACTGGGTATTATTATCGTGTATCCTTCAAGGTTCAAAGAGTCTCTATTTTTTAATTGCAGCATATTCAAACCAATAATAATTTAACAAATTGATTGCAACAAATGCATTGTAGGCTTATACAATGAATAAATGAATCCACTTCAAATATGATAGTAATGCAGCTTTGTTCGATTTGACAAGAAAACCAAAAACAAAATTGTAGAGATGCCACATCATTTCAACAGCTCTAATGTAAAAATATCTGGTTAACATACCTAAGATTGAGCTAGTAACCGACGCAAAACCGTAGACCGTATCAGCTGATACGATCTATCTTATGAGAGCGCAATGTAAATGAACACTTACAACAGAGAACGAATATATATCATATATATATTTTACGTTCTCTGCTTACAACTCATAAAATTCTTAAAATAACTCAAAATCAAAGTCGAATACAATTATTTATAATTATGTAGACTATTTGAAATAGTTAGATTTTAGTTTTGAGCTTTCACACTATGAAAAATTATAACTAAAAAACTAAATGTGTGAAAAATCGTGTATACAAATAGAACAATGGTAACATTGGTCTAATGAAAAAAAAATTGAACAACTGATTTTTACGTTGCCAGTACGGGCACATAATTTGACAAATTTACCGTACGGAAGGGCGGTACGTCAGTCACTATTTGAAGCAATCGGCTGTGGTGTGCCAAACGGTAGAAAAGTTAATATTCTGACAGATCAAAGGGCTCAAAAGCTACGTAAATTTTTGACATCTTATAAATATTGTGATAAACATGGATGCGAGAACAAAATAGAATCGACGATAAATTGCCCGAATTAATTAGACAGCGAAATATCAGCAGCTCTAGGTAGAGTGCTGCTGTGTAAAGAGCAATTGAGATATACAGGGGTGTTGTAGAATCTGATAGTTGTCGGAATCAGAACTGAAACCGATAAAAAAATGTAGTAGGTGCCATGAATTCGGATATTATTGGTTTGGCCAGAGAATGTTAATGAATAGAGAAGGCGCAAATGTTAGTTGTGCTAAAATGTTAATTGCTATGAAGGAACATCGAAAACGTGCAAGTTCGAAAATAAAATTTCACCAGAGAATGTTGATGAGTAGAGAAGGAGCAAATGTTAAATGAAAACTTTTTGAGAAGCAGATCCAAGATATGGGTTTTCACCTAAAAGTGGGCTGTGCCACGCCCACTGTCTAATTTTGAACGCGGTTCCTATAAAGTCATCTCATACCATCCGAGAGATAAAATTTAATGTCTCTGGCGTGTGTAGTGCTTGGTTTATCGCGCTTTTAGTTTTTTTTTATCAGTACCGTTATATGGGGAGTGGGCGGGCTTGTCACCCGATTTCATACATTTACACACCGTCCATAGAGGTGCTAAAAACATTTGCTCTCAGTGAATTTGGTTATTATAGCATTAGCGGCTTAGGAGATATGCACATTAAACCTATTAGGGCCGGGATCACGCCCACTTTTAAAAAAAAATTTAAACTGCAGATGCCCCTCCTTAATGTGATCCTGTGTACCAAATAACAGTCTTGTATCTTATTTCGGAGCTTAGTTATGGCAATTTATTTGTTTTTGATTAATGGCGTTTTGTGGGCGTGGCAGTGGTCCGATTACGCCCATCTGCAATACCAACCGTCTCACGGTACCAAGAAACATGTCTACCAAGTTTCATAAAGATATCTCAATTTTTACTCAAGTTAGAGCTTGCACGGACGGACGGACAGACAGTCACCCGGATTTCAACTCGTCTCTTCATCCTGATCATTTATATATAAATATATAACCCTATATCTAATTCGATTAGTTTTAGGTGATAAAACAACCGTTAGGTGAACAAAACTATTATACTCTGTAGCAACAGGTTGCGAGAGTATAAAAAACCCTACAAGAACAGTGACAGTCATCTGATCGGTAATTTGACAGTCACAGTTCAAAGATTTTGTCACAACTCTTTGAGCTATCAAAGCTGTAACAAAAAATAATTAAATAATAATTATAAAAAGAAATTTTCACTCGATTCCATCTCCCGTCTCAATAGCACTGCGTACGTCTTTCCACAATTAGTGCATATTTCGGAATTTAAAATTCTTGAATAAAATTAACTAAATATATATTTTATTTGAAACATATTTCACTTACGTATGTACATATGTATGTTATATTTGAAAAATCCCCTCTTTCAAGGCTTGGCTTGGTATTTCACAATTTTCTAAACTAATATGGAAATGTTTGATATCTCTTTTTGTCGTACACAAAATATGCTTTTAGAAAACCGTAAACATTGACAGTCATTTTCTGTTCATGTGACTGTCAGTGGTGACAGTACTAAATAATTCAGCTATTTCATCCTGACATATGTAAATTTATAGTAAGTATTATAAGTCGTCTTTTCAGCAAAAACTCTGACGGTCAGTTGACAAGTACGTCACAACTGACCCAAAAATATGAGTGTATTGGTGAATCCATCAGCAGTTTCTTGTAGGGTTAAGAACTGGCATATAACAAACATGCACATGCATTGACTTGTACACTTGAAAACCACAACATATCACTTACAATACAATATACATAGTCCAGTCATTATAGTAAGTTCACCTCGGAATTCAGATACCCAGCTGTAAGTCTGTAAATACTTGTATATTGACACCCTAAAAGTTTCTCAAAACCTACATATGGTAGGGTGTACGCAACTATTAAATTTCAGGTCAAGGTCACACAAATCGATTTTTGCGCTTTTTGTAAATATCTCATTTCTATGGGTTTTTGCTATTGGTATATCAATATTGTAGAATACAAAATTCTCTACAAATTTTGTTTAAAAAAAATTTTCATACGGTGAACCGTTTTCGAGATAGAGGCGGAGAGCGCGCGGTCACGGCATCACTTCAGGTCAACCGGTGCCTCCGATCAAAACGCGCCATATATAGTTGATGAACTATCGATAAATCAATTTAATTTAATTATAAATATTTGTCAATTTTATTAACTATTATATTATATTTTATCATTTTTCTAACCTATCCTTTTATTCAGTATTAATTTATTTAACAACACTTACCTGCCCATGAAATTGCAGTTGTTATGAAAATATAGAATTATATTTGAATTTAAACTTATTAATATAATAACTTCTTACTGATAAAAAATATAAAAATATATTAAACAAGTAAGGAAGGCTAAGTTCGGATGTAACCGAACATTTTATACTCTCGCAAAGTCAAATGGTATACTCGTTTAGATTTCTTTGTGGATTGACTGATATTTATGGTAGAAGGTCAACTATAGGCACTGGGGTCCACATATTTAGTATTAGGGGTTTGAACAGTTTTGGTTCGATTTAGACAATTTTGGCCGCAAGGTGGCATACTTTAATTGCATTATTCACGCACAGTTTTACCCGATATAATTATTGTTACCTGATTTGCATAGTGGAAAGTGAAAGAATCAGATGGAATTGAAAAGGTGTTATATGGAAATAGGCGTGGTTGTAGTCCAATTTCGCCCATTTTCGCACTATGACATAGAAACATGAAAACGTTACGACGAATTTGGTTGAAATCGGTTAAGCAGATCTCAAGATATGAGTTTTCACCTAAAAGTGGCTGTGCCACGCCCACTGTCTAATTTGAACGCGATTCCTATAAGTCATCTCATACCATCCCAGAGCTAAAATTTAATGTCTCTGGCGTGTTTCGTGCTTGATTTATCGCGCTTTTAGTAGTTTTAACAGTACGTTATATGGGGATGGGCGGAGTTGGTACCCGATTTCAACTATTTTCACACCGTCAATAGAAGTGCTAAAACCATTTGCTTCCAGTGAATTTTGTTATTATAGCATTAGCGGTTTAGGAGATATGCACATTAAACCTATAGAGGCGGGACCACGCCCACTTTAAAAAAAATTTAACTGCAGATGCCCCTCCTAATGTGATCCTGTGTACCAAATAACAGTCTTGTATCTTATGCGGAGCTTAGTTATGGCAAGTTATTTGTTTTGATTAATGGCGTTTGTGGGCGTGGCAGTGGTCCGATTACGCCCATCTGCAATACCAACGTCTCACGGTACCATGAAACATGTCTAGAAAGTTTCATAAAGATATCTCATTTTTACTCAAGTTAGAGCTTGCACGGACGGACGGACGGACAGACGGACGGACGGACAGACAGTCACCCGGATTTCAACTCGTCTCTTCATCCTGATCATTTAATATATAACCCTATATCTAACTCGATTAGTTTTAGGTGATACAAACAACCGTTAGGTGAACAAAACTATTATACTCTGTAGCAACAGGTTGCGAGAGTATAAAAATATCATTCAATACATTTATTTTTATTAAAAGTAAAAAAATGGAATAAAGGGTACAAAAACTACAATTTATAATTTTAATCATCTTCTTCCTCTTCATCGTCGTCTTCCGGCTGCTGGTAAATTTCAAACTGGTCTTCATTATCGTCTTCAACGACATTTGTTTCAAGTTCTTCCATGATTTCGGGGTCAAAAGTTCCATCTTCGTTAATGTCGCTCTGATATGGTAGAGCATTGAGACAAGCTTGCCCATTACATTGGCCACAAGCTAAAGAGCATTGCAAGCCCGCTTTCCTGCATCCGCATCGCGAACCACAACCACTCTTGCAGTTGCAGATAATTGTATTTAGCAAATGTTCTGGAGCAGGTGGTAAAATTGTCATGATAGGCTCCAGAAAATCGTTTCGCATTGCCCAACCCATACCTGGGGTTCCAAATCATGCCCTAACCAAGTTTGAACTTGATAATATACACGTTCGAATGTTGATGAGCAGCTGCACTTGTTGGTGGAATATTGGAAAGCTGCACAGGTTTATTAAGTTTTGTAGACTTGACGTAATGCATATAACGAAGATGATCGAGACTTTCACAGATTTCGGAGCATTATAGACTGCCAATAAGGTTTGAGTTCCACTCTCTAATAATCTCTGGCCGAACAATTTTCTCTCAAATGCTGCAGCTAGTTCATCAAATTGGTCAGTTTCTCAAAACTTTTAAAAATTTTTTTTTCCTTTTAAAAGCGCAGAAGTTGTGTCACATCCACTTAATGCGTGCAGAAATAAAATATGTGTTTGGAATGAGGATAATTATCAAACTTTTAGTCGAGTATATCTCCGTTTTACATTGCCTTTCCCAAC